CGCTGTTCTTCTGAACAACGTCTGGAACGACCCATTTTCCTCAGAATTTCAGAGAGAAATGCACTGTAACCAGCATGTACAACATTTGCTGCCTTCCTTCCTTAAATAAGGGCGATAATTGCCACCTGTTTTTCAAAGAATGAATAACCTCACGAATAGAACTCCACACTGCTATTATTTTGAACATGCCCCTTTCAATTAGTGATTCAATTACACAGAATCAGCAGCATGCATGTCATGACTGTTGGGTCTGTTGGATTTCTATTACTCTACCACACCTGCTAGTAAATTATTTGCCGTGTAGAAATATCCTTTCTACCAAAAACAGTGATTGATCAGGTTAGTGATGTTTGACTGCTAATATTTTGAACACAACTGTATATATATATACACTGTATTGCCAAAAGTATTTGGCATACCTGCATTTAAATGCACATGAACTTTAATGGTATCCTAGTCTTAGTCCAGGGTTCAATATTGAGTTGGCCCACCCTTTGCAGCTACAACAGCTTCCACGCTTCTGGGAAGGCTGTCCACAAGGTTTAGGAATGTGTCTGGGAATGTTTGACCATTCTTCCAGAAGTGCATTTATGAGGTCAGGCACTGATGTTGGACGAGAAGGCCTGGCTCGCAGTCTCCACTCTAATTCATCCCAAAGGTGTTCTTTCGGGTTGAGGTCAGGACTCTGTGCAGGCCAGTCAAGTTCCTTCACCCCAGACTCGCTTATCCATGTCTTTATGGGCCTTGCTTTGTGACATTATGAAAGGTGAGGTGATTGATGGACTCTATGGGGTTTATTTACTAAAGCTGGAGAGTGCAAAATCAGACTCACTTCTGCATAGAAACCAATCAGCTTCCAGGTTTCATTGCCAAAGCTTCATTGAACAAGCTGAGGTTAGAAGCTGATTGGTTTCTATGCAGAAGGGAGTCTGATTTTGGACTCTCCAGCCTTAGTAAATAAACCCCTATGTGTCACCTTGCATGCGTTCATACCTAGGAGACTAAGGTGGAGTCCAGTCCGGGTTTTCCAGGCCACTTTGGTAGAGTTGGTTCCAGACCGGATTTTGTGGAAGATGCTCTTGGCCTGGGACTCAGGGACCATACCCAAGAGAGCTGTGGATAAAAGAGTTTGCTTTGTACAAGAAAGGAAAAGGTTTGCCTACCGTTTTGTTCTGTTGGTGACAGGGAGAAGCCCTCCACCTGTGAGATAGGAATCTCTTCTGTTTAGTTAGTGCCTGGATGGCAAGGATTTATTTCTGTTTTGTTTATGATGCATGCAACCTTTTAAATAAAACTGGCTACAAGTCAGATTTTTAAGAAAGACCTGCCATCTGGACTACCTTTTTCCCAGGGAAGGTGATCCCCCCACCTGAGCTAACCTCCACATATGGTGGATTTGGCGGGTGACTTCCTGAGGAAGTGGGAATATGGAGGAGGTGACAAGAGTGGGCCAGCTATTACCTGGAATAGATGACGCCTGAAGATAATGTTGAAGCCTACCTCACAACTTTTGAGAGAGTTATTGTTCGGGAAGGATGGTTAAAAGAGCAATGGGTGGGACTGCTTGCACCATTTCTGACAGGTGAACCCCAAAAGGCTTATTATGACCTGGAACCAGATGCTGCCCAGGATTATGAGAAACTGAAGGCTGAGGTCCTTGCACACCTGGGCATCACTATATATATATATATATATAATATATATATATATATATATATATATATGTACACACACATTTTTTTTTCAATTATTTCTTCAAGCTACAAAGATGGACACTGAACATATCTTTGGTGAAAACAGCAGTAATTCACTTCACAGGAACAATTGGTTGGTTGTGCTTCTGCTACTTATAGACACAAGTCTTCCCCCTGTTTAGATTAAATTGATGCAATTGAATGGTTCAGGTGAAGATCCTCTCTTGGATTAATACCCTAAATCTGTGATATGTTGACAAGAGAAGTCTTTTTGTTACGTGATCCTGATGGCAAACTGTAATTTGGGAAACTATCACTTTTTAGAAACCATAAGGTTCACATTCATAATAAATTACATGAAAGGTTGATTCTTTAAACCAAACCTTTGTTGAAAGTGTATGTCTATAATTAGGGAGATTCACCCACTCCATTTGTCCTGGTGACTATTGTTACTGAGACTGAAATTGATGGGAAATCCAAATTTTTAAAGTTTTCACCAGAGGTGAGGTGTCCACTGGGGACAATTTTCTCTCACTTCCTCTTGGGTCTCCTGGACAGGAAGTGAAGGGAAATCTTCTTAAGTGGACACAGGCAGCAAAAAAATAATGACAGGGGTTTAAAGCATACTCTACTTTATCCAAAACTAGCAAACAAAAGGTTTGGGCTATACATACACTTTAAATGCTACCAAAAAGCAACACAAATATGTCAGTCATCTGTACTTTATGGTGTGCTGTGTTAATAAAAAAACTCTGAAGGTCCATTAAAACGTGCCTTGTCTTGTGCTGGCAGCCAATTTCATAATAAAGTGGACCTGAACTCAAAAAGTGAAAAGTTTCTATGTACATTAGTGATGTCTTTGATGTTCAAGTCAAATATAAGTTCGACTTGAACATTGGCCGTTCGTGTGTTTGGTGAAAAGATGAATGCACAGGTCAGGTGCAATGCTTTGGTCAATCACAGCACAATTGGGTTGAGCTAGCAATGTTGTTTACAATTGTTTACTTCTGACCGGCAAATGTCTTGGCTGGTGTGGACGGGTTGGAGGGCCTACCAGGCCTAAGCCCTGGTTCACATATATGCGGCCTTATGGGAATGGAATCCCGTGCCCCATGACACGCAGAGAAGAAGTCCCTGCACTTCTTCTGAAAACGCAGCCCGCACGGGACCGCATTTCTTTGTGCAGGTGGTGCGGTTGCACAGATTTTCGTGCGGATCCTCAGCTGCACCACCCGCACAGATGTGAACCTAGCCTAAAGGGCCTCATAGCTTTTAAGGGGAACTCCACGCATTTAAAAAAAAAGATTACTGTGGAGTCCCTAGCTTTAGGTCTGGTAGGGATTGGGGGGGAGACCACTCATTGTTGTTTTTTTTTTTAATTGTTTTAAAAAATATTTAAAGTTTTTTTTTTTTTATTTTAAGCAATGGAAAATGACTGCCCCTTTAAAAACTGTATTTTTTAAATTTCTTTTTCACTGATTCATGTCCCTCGGAGCAGTTCCCGAGTTCCCATACCCATTTTATGGCCAATAATAATATAACCCTTCAAAATGGGTACTTTTCAATTTACAAGTTTGAGTCCCATAGACTTGCATTAAGTTGGAAGTTTGCAGTTGTACTTTCGTTAGATTCGAATGTTCGACCATGAACCGAACAGGGGGGTGGAAATATAAATTGTGCCTAAGCAGTAATCAGAAAAGTACACATTTTATCAGTAAATCCTTTTAAATGACAGCATGACAGCAGTGCACTCCATGGGAGTGTGTCTAGGCACTTCTATGCCTACTGCCTCATAGCTGGATAGCTGCAGTATGCTATCTAAGGCACCTGTGACTATCTGATAGCCGTTGCAGATTTCAAGTGAGATTTGTTGGTAATTTGTTGTAATTACTGTTCTCCTTGCTGGAGACCCTGACATGAGGAAGCAAAGCCCTGCCTCTACCAAGATGGCCGCACAGAGACACGATGGAGTTTATTTACTTAAGCTGAAGAGTGAACAATTAGGTGCACTGCTACGAAGAATTAGCTTCCAGGCTTTATTGGCAAAGCTTAATTGAACAAGCTGAAGTTAGAAGCTAATTGCCTACAGTGCTCCAGATTCTGAGTTCTCCAGTTTTAGTAAATCTCCCCCACAGCACATGGTAAGGCAATAATAAGTAAAGATCAGCTGCAGGGAGACCACTGGCAATACCTGTGACTATTCCTTTGCCCTTTGCCTGCCTTTCTTTTGGGCACAACTTCCAGAGTTCAGCTCCTCCTTAACGTGAAATAAGATATTGTTGGTAAAGTTCCTCTTAATACAAAAATACAAATGATATACATGTATATGATTATATGATGTACATATAAATACTATGTTTTCAGATTTTTTTGTAATTTCTATCCTTAAAGCTATTTTGTCACTGAGGCATGGAATTGCTTTTACTGTTTAATTTAGCAAGTAATTGGCAGTGGAAAATCTGGGACTTTTTTTCATCTCGAATAGCTTTGCAGCAGGCTGCATAGACGTTGCAGCAGACATCTTGTGTTAGTTATTTAAAAAAATCTGACCCTGTGGGGAAATGTTTCACATTGTAACAGTTAAATAAACTCAAAAATGTAGTACTGCACTTTAAATTAACCTCCATAGCGGTCTGATTATGTGCATATTTCTGTGATCAAAGCGGTACATTTTTTTGCATGGAAATATGTATTTTTTTTATTGTAGGCCTTTAATTTTTAGGAATAACTCACTGAAATCTGTCCAAACAAGAGTCTAATAAACATCCCGGGTAGGATAAAACTTGAAACACGAAATCATAAATTATAATTTAATAAATAATCATAAAAAATAATAATATAATAATAAATTTAATTCAATAATATAATCAAACCAAAAACACTGAAATTTGAAATATAGCGCCAAGTTCGCACATCGCTGAGCAAAGTCGCAAAATCGTTTTCAGTGTCTGATGACGAATTTCCCCACGAATCATTATCACTCAATTCTGCAAGGGGTTCTGATTTACTATCGCTGTTCTCTAGCTGGTCTAAAACCGCTTTTGACCTAAACGGACGCTTTTTGGACACCATGGACTTTTCTCAGTTTCCAAGCAGAAAGAACAGTAAAGATGCAGGCAGGGCACAGGACAAAGCACTCGGGACAAAATGTATGTGAAATGGTTTGATACAGTAATGTTTTACTATGTGATTTTAGTGAATGTTACTTCTTGTCATTTTCAAATTTCCCGCCGCTCCGTCCCCGTACGTCCCGACGCTCGCAGGGGACGGAACCCAGATGACAGATGCCGGCATCCGCCGGATTACATTGCCGGGGACACTGCAGGAGGAACATCGCGGGAGCGCAGGACAAGGTAAGTGATCGAGGGATCGCGGAGCAGTGCCGCATGGTATTCCCGAGTGTAGCTCGGGGTTACCACTTGTGGTAGTGAAACTTTACCCCGAGCTACACTCGGGAATACCGCCAGGGAGGTTAAACTTGTCACAAACCTGGACAATGTAGACTGCACATTGAACGAAGATCCAGAGCTCGACTCATGAGTAAATCCTGACCTTTAATAAAAAGTCAAGCTTTTCCCGCCCTCTAAGGACCAATCACAATAAAATTTCACTAGGGTGGCAAGAGAGGTAGGTCCAAGCTCAACCATACATGAAAATCTGAGATTTGCATATACAGTAACTTCAGCGGCCTTCATATGTCAATATATCTAAAAAGTATTTTTGACTTTGGAGGATTCCTACTCTTTTTGTGTGTGCAGATCCAATGAAAATACCTTTCCAGACACACATACATAAATTGACCTGTTTTATTAGTATCATAATAATAGATACATAATACAAGCAGATCTCAGCACAATGCAGTATTACATCAATTTGTGAGTTTAAAGGGTAACTCCACTTCTGTGAAAAAACAAAAACAATAAAAAAAAATAATATACAAATGCGGCACAAGCCATATTGTAATTGGATGTTATTAAAAAAACGACCTTTCATTTTTCAATCTGCAGCGCTGTAATTTTCTGAAAAAGGCAATGCAATATGGTGTACAGAACGCCCCCCAGAAATGTAATTTTCTGCTTGTGTGATTGGTTCACTGATTTTCCCAGAAGTCTGCACTATGATGCAAATCAGATTTTCCCCTGCAACAAAAATGTTATTTTTGGTGAGATACTCCTAATAGATAATCATGTCTAAAGGGATGCAGACCCTGCCACTTTCCTCATTAGAACCCTGCAAGTTCAGCAGCTAGTTGGTAATTATAAAAACGTTCCCATTCAGATTCACTCTGCATATGGACATGGACACATAACAAGAGGTAGGAATCTGCAACAAAATGTGTTAAAATTGCAGCAATGTACATAGATCACCCAGAAGAGAATGTGTATTGTTTCTCAACAAAAGTTGAGTCACTCTTTAACCTCCCTAACGGTATTCCCGAGTGTAGCTCGGGGTAAAATGTCAGTACCAAAAGCGGTAACCCCGAGCTACACTCGGGCTTACCATGCGGCGCTGCATAGGGAGTCCCTGCAGCACTTACCTTGTCCTTCGCTCCCACGATGTGTCCCCTGCAGCGTCCCCGGCCATCTCCTCCGGCCGATGCCGGCATCCGGCTCCTGTGTTCCGGTCCCTGTGACGTCGGGACATACGGGCGCTGGCGCTGGCTGGTGGCGGGAAATTTGAAAATTTAAAAAAAAATGTCATTTAAAATGATTTTACATAGTAAAACATTGCTGTTTCAACCCATTTCACATACATTTTGTCCCTAGTGCTCTGTCCTGTCCCCTGTCTGCATTTTGAATGTTCTTTCTGCCTGGAAACTTAGAAAAGTCCATGGCGTCCAAAAAGCGTCCCTTTTGGTCAAAAGCGGGTTTAGATCAGCTAGAGAACAGCCATAGTAAATTAGAACCCACTTGCAGAATTGAGTGATAATGATTCGTGGGGAATCCCAAACCTTTGGACTTAATAACTGGTTGACCCTCCTTTGGCAGCAATAACCTCAACCAAACGTTTCCTGTAGTTGCAGATCAGACCTGCACAACGATCTGAAGTAATTTTGGACCACTCCTCTTCACAAAACTGTTTCAGTGTAGCAATATTCTTGGGATGTCTGGTGTGAATCGCTCTCTTAAGGTCATGCCACAGCATTTCAATCGGGTTGAGGTCAGGACTCTGACTGGGCCACTCCAGAAGGCGTATTCTGTGCTGTTGCAGCCATTGTTTTGTTGAATTACTTGTATGCTTTGGGTCATTGTCCTGTTGCATCACCCATCCTCTGCGGAGCTTCAGTTGGCGGACAGATGGTCGTACGTTTTCCTGCAAAATGTCTTGATAAACTCTGGAATTCATTTTCCCATCAATGACAACAATCCGTCCAGGCCCTGAGGCAGCAAAGCAGCCCAAAACCATGATGCTCCCTCCGCCATGTTTTACAATGGGGATGAGGTTTTGATGTTGGTGTGCTGTGCCTTTTTTTCTCCACACATAGTGTTGTGTGTTCTTCCCAAACAACTCAATCTTGGTTTCATCTGCCCACAGTATATTTTGCCAGTAGTGCTGTGGAACATCCAGGTGCTCTTTTGCAAACTTCAAACGTGCTACAATATTCTTTTTGGACAGAAATGGCTTCCTCCAAGGTGTCCTCCCATGTACTCCATTCTTGTTTAATGTTTTCCTTATTGTAGATGTGTCAACACAAATGTTAGCATGTGCCAGAGATTTCTGTAGGTGTTTAGCTGACACTCTGGGATTCTTCTTTACCTCATGCAGCATTCTGCGCTGTGCTCTTGCAGTCATTTTTACAGGACGACCATGCCTAGGGAGAGTAGCAACAGTGCTAAACTTTCTCCATTTGTAGACAGTCTGTCTTACCGTGGACACATGAACATCAAGGCTTTTGGAGATACTTTTGTAACCCTTTCCAGCTTCATGCAAGTCAACAATTCATGATCGTAGGTCTTCTGAGAGCTCTTTTCTGCGAGGCATGGTTCACATCAGACAGTGCTTCTTGAAACCAGTAAATCCAAAACAGGTGTGTGTTTTTTAAAGGGGCAGGACAGCTGTCAGCAACACATCCAATATCATCACACTGATTGGAGTCAAGGTTGGCTCACTCTTGGCTCCAATTAGCTCTGGGAGAAGTCATTAAGCTAGGGCCTCACATACTTTTTCCTCCCTGCACTGCAAATGTTTACATGTTATGTGCAATTAAACCATGGCAACATCTAATGTTTGTGTAGTATTATGTTTCAGCAGACTGTGTTCTTCTATTGTTGTGACTTAGATGACGTTCAGAGCACATTTTATGCCCAATTCATGCAAAACTCCACGTAATCCCAAGGGGTTCACATACTTTTTCTTGCAACTGTATTACTAAATTTAATAGCACGTTGCCCTGTACAAACTTGTATGGGCTCATTCATACGGGCATCTAATATGCTGTGCTTAGATGTATACAGTGTATGTAGTTTTCTACCTATCTAAATGCAGCACTATAGGAATCAGTGAGACCACATCTACAAATGAAGATTTGCACTGCATTTAGCAACATAAGGCTCCATGCACACTAGCAGTTTTTAAGCTCCTAGAAGTTGTTATCAGCATATTTTTTTGTGCTCCTAGACACTAAATAGTGTTATCCTCTGTGTCCATGTACACTCCTTTAGGCTATTAGCATTCTTTGAGCTTCAGCGTCTAGGAGCAGAAAAAAAATTTTTTTGTAGAGTTTTTTGGAGTGTATTTCCAGCAGAAAAAATGGTAAACACTGCTAAATGCTACTAAAACACTCATAACAGCTTTTTTTCTAGTTTTTTTTTCTCTACACATACTGTAAAAACGCTAATAAAAGGCTAACTCTCCAAAGCGCTACACAAAAAAGCTATTACCAGTGTTTTTTATCCAGCATTTTTCTCAGTGTTTTTTTTAGCTTAAAAAAACCCCCACTAGTATGCATGGAGCCTAAAAAAAAAAAGTAAGAACCATCTGCATCTGGGGCCAAACATATCTTCAGATTGCATGTGGCCGTTGACCCCCTCGTGTTTTGTTTTGTTTTGTTACTGTATTGTCTCATGTTCTGTCCCTCACTATAATGTACAGCGCTGAGCAAACCTTTTAGCGCTATATAATACTAATAATAATAATAATAAACACATATACACATACATGCGTAAAAATTGTAAATGCAAGGACATTAGGTGTGTATTTTACGCAGGATCTTCTGCTAGCTATGCAAGCAAGAAACTGTGCTCCATGCAGAAAATAGCCATATATGTTATTTTTGTACAAATGTGTTCTTATTTGTGCATAGCACTCCTAAACATTTTAATTTGTTTCTATATTTACCATCTTTTCTTTAAATAGCAAAGTTTACATTGTTACTGCCAAAACCAACATATGTGTTATATTGCCCATCACAAGCAATTGTAATAGTAGGACAATAATACATAGGTACAATGCAGTTGTATGTAAACACTGAGAAATGTGCGCCATCAGGGACACTTCATAGATGAAATCAGGAAAGTTCTGTTCAGTTCTGCCCAGTAGGACAATAATACATAGGTACAATGCAGTTGTATGTAAACACTGAGAAAATGTGCGCCATCTGGGACACTTCATAGATGAAATCAGGAAAGTTCTGTTCAGTTCGGCCAGTAGGACAATAATACATAGGTACAATGCAGTTGTATGTAAACACTGAGAAATGTGTGCCTTCAGGGACATTTCATAGATGAAATCAGGAAAGTTCTGTTCAGTTCTGCTCAGTAGGACAATAATACATAGGTACAATGCAGTTGTATGTAAACACTGAGAAATGTGTGCCTTCAGGGACACTTCATAGATGAAATCAGGAAAGTTCTGTTCAGTTCGGCCCAGTAGGACAATAATACATAGGTACAATGCAGTTGTATGTAAACACTGAGAAATGTGTGCCTTCAGGGACACTTCATAGATGAAATCAGGAAAGTTCTGTTCAGTTCGGCCCAGTAGGACAATAATACATAGGTACAATGCAGTTGTATGTAAACACAGAGAAATGTGTGCCTTCAGGGACACTTCATAGATGAAATCAGGAAAGTTCTGTTGTTCAGTTCGGCCCAGTAGGACAATAATACATAGGTACAATGCAGTTGTATGTAAACACTGAGAAATGTGCGCCTTCAGGGACACTTCATAGATGAAATCAGGAAAGTTCTGTTCAGTTCTGCCCAGTATTGGGATACACAGGACCGTTATATCTAAACCACATCTGTAGGGATGACTGATGCTAGACTAGCAGCTGTGACCAGTTCAGGTCTGTATGTGCTGGGTGACACAGAGGGCGAACTGTCCTTTTATACTGGTGATGTCACAGCCAGGGAGGTGGCCACACATGCCATCAGTTACATGTGGTTATATCAGGGGTGTGAGAATTTGCCTTTGCACAATGAATGGATATGTCCCAGAGGTTTCAGCACTGTATCCCTATCCTTCAGTATATTCC